ATATTCTGGATATTTCAAAGAAAATTTCTAGGGGGCTTGGTGTTATAAATAAACTAAGACAAAGATTTCCACAAAAAATCTTATTAAATTTATATTTTACATTAATTTATCCTTATTTTATTTATTGCATCATCGTTTGGGGTAAAAATACAAAATCACATATAATAATCCTTACTAGGTGTCAAAATTATTTTATAAGAATAATAATATATAATCTTCATATGTTTGATCATATAACTTATTTTTTCAAAAAATCTGGTATTTTATCAATTAATTATTTGTACGTTTTAAGAATCTTAATATTTATTTACAAAATGGTTAAGTTAAAAATGTATAGTTATTTCCATAAATTTATTATTAAATTTAACTCAATTGTTAAGAGACAAACTAGACATACTGAATTTTATGTTCCAACTGTAAGAACTGATCTGCTCTCTAATTCTTTATTTATTTATGGTAATAAATTATGGTCCTCCTTATCTTCTAATATAAAATTATTGTCTAACATAATTAAGTTTAAGAAATCAATAATTATACTGTTAAATTTTGGATATTTTTCTGCTGTTCAATTAAATATATAAAACTAAAGTTTATGTTAAATATCATTTATATTTCATCAATATGTTTTCATGACACTTTGGTTTTTATATTATGAACATTAAAATTATAGTTTAATTGATTAGAACTTTAATTTTAGAGATATTTATGTTAAAGTAAATTGAACAATTTCAGTTTTGCAACATTTCTTTTTGCTAATTATGTTATATAGTGTTTTGTTTATTTCTGGTCATATTACGTTATGTTTTTTTTTTGGAGGTGGCCATACAAGCATTGCTTCAGGTCTCCATTAATAAAATTGTTAAATTGTTGTTGTTAAAAAAAAAGAATATGAACAATGTGGATACCTATGAGGCCCTGCGGCTAATCTAAAATACAGAGCATGGCTGCAATTCGCTGACGATACAGCTATTATAACAAACAGCTCTGATGGTTCTCAGACTCTAATCAATCTTAACCAATCCTGGTGCAAATGGTCTGGCATGAAGATAAGAGTCGACAAGTGTTGCCCATTCGGGATGCGAAAGCGGGATGGCGCATTTGAATAATTTCTGCCGAAGCTAACAATAGACGACGAAACAATACCTCAGATAGGCGTCGATGACAGGTTTGAGTATCTAGGTAAATCTTATGATTTTGAATGCAAAAACGTCAAGGAAAAAAAGATACTCCAAAAGAAGCTAACGGATATGTTGCAAGTAATCAGCGACTTGAATACAACAGCTCAATGGAAACTTCAAATCCTACGTCTCTTCATTCCGTCTCAATTATCATTCCAATTGCGATTATACGATATTTCGCTAACTTGGATAGGTAACAGCCTAGACCCGTTGATATGCGAAGCTGTAAGAGATTGGTTGTCTCTTCCCGTAAGTAGTTGTGTTGCTGAAGTTTTGTAGTTGCCTTACAAAAGTGGAGGGTTAAACATAAAATCGCTAAAACATCACACAGAGCTAATGAGATTAAAACTTCGGGGACACTTAAAAACAAACACCAAGAAAGAAATGAGAGTTCTGTGGAAGGAATCAAAGAACAAATACAAAAAAGTCGACAACCAAATCCAAAGCAACGATATTCAAATGGCGTGCAACGTCCTGAAACAGCGTCAACACCAAAATGATTTCAACCATCTATCGTCGCTACAATGCCACGTAACATTGATAAAGTCGATTAAGGAAAACATTCACGACTCAGAGATCACCCGTTGGACTAATGCAACAAAATCCCTACCAGATGTTTTATACAAATTCACAAGGAAATATCTCATTCAACAACTACCAACCAACGCTAACCTAGTCAAATGTAAAAAAACGAACAACGCAGCATGCTCTCTCTGTAACGCCAAGGAAACAAATAAGCATGTAGTATCATACTGTGGTTCGCCATCTGCACTCGCTAGGTACTTAAATCGCCACAATAAAATACTTGCCATCATCTTAAACAACATCAAATCATGCATCGAGCCTGGAGCAATCATTTTTGCGGATATCGAAAAAGAATCGATCCGCTCTGTGTCGCAACTGTTTGCCTCGCTCAGACCAGATATAGCAATCTTGTACAAAAAAACGATTGAAATACTGGAACTAACAGTCTGTCATGAAACCAATTAAACCAAATCAAGAAACTACAAAGTGGATAAGTACAAGAACAACCTCAAGAATAACCTATCGAATGATTATAAGCATTGCAATATTTTAATCAACACTTTTGAAATTTCGCCAATAGGACTGTAGATTTTCGCCGGGCGACATTCGAATTCCGCACCACGCGGTCCCGAACCGCGTCCGCATACGAATATCCACCCGAGCCTTCGCTTCAGCGGAGTCTTTCCTGGCCGGGATCCGCCACTCTACAATAGACCCTCTCAGGGTCTGAAAACACGGGCCGGGCGGAAGTTTGTTCGCGCCCTGCTTGTTGACTAGAGACGCCGACCTCGTCAACTATCAACAAGTCTTCTTCAACATCCATTATTTTAGGTAGAATAATTAAGTCGAGCCAAACTTCAAGTGTACATTCTTTTTATTCAATAAAAGAAATAAAATAACAAACAAAATAATACAAATCAAACCTCTGTCCTTATTAAAACAAAACGATAAGTCCAAAATTAATCTATTAATAATACAACTGACAAGCAAGAGACCAAAACCTAAAATTAAGATAACAAACGACCAGCCTCCCAATATCTTAACTCGCGGCCTTTTATATGTTTTTACCGCCCTATCTACATAATGCTTTCTATATCATAGAAAATTCTATACTCCTATCTATACTCTCTTCCTATACTCAGAAAAGCGATACAGCACAGCAGCGTCGCTTATATAGCATATCAAATAACAAAATATACATGCATAGAATGACTAGTAAAATATATAGATATGTATAGGCGGCACGCCTCAAAGACGCAATCATTATCATCACAATTTCACAAAATATACAGGCGGCATATTTCAATCGCGCAATCATTATCATCACCATACAGGCGGCATATCTCAATCGCGCAATCATTATCATCCCAATCGTCACAACTTCACAGGACTTTATAATTCTTTCAATTTATCTCAAACTAAAATAAACTGGCGTGACGATTTTAGATCTAGCTTAATCAATTCTGCGATAGCATCTACTTACGCAATATATTGTGACAGAAATAAAGCTTGACTCTAGTTTTTATATTATTTTATCATCTTTGTACACATTCATAATGACGAGCATTGATGTTAAATTATCCATTATTTTAATCTTTTAACTATTATAGTAATTGATCATTTTATATTTAATTGTAATTTCCTTTTTTTACTTATATTTTGGCTTATGAAGAAATAAAAGAGTTCTCATTATTATTATTTTTATTGTTGTTGTTGTTATTATTACTTTTCACTGATCAGGTTGACTTTGCGATCAAATTAGTTGGAGGTGGAGTTCTGGGAAGGGGGTGTGTCCAGGAAGAAATGAGGTGCCAATCGTTCATTATAATATGTTAATTTATGTTAATGAGCCAACGTTTTGATTCACAGATTTTTGATATGCCCTGATCTCATTGTGGCCAGGCTCTTCACAGAGGAGTTGGATGACAACGAGTGCCTCTTAGTCACCGGTATATTATAGTAATTTATTCGGTGGTTTAATTGCCGTTGAAGTTACTGGGTTCGAATACAAACAGATTCCCGTCTATCACGTGCAGTGTTTGTGTGTGTGCGTGATGCGAAGGTTCATGTGTAATTACGTGGGCTGTTAGTGTGCGTACGTGTGTGTTTGTATGTGTGTGTGTGTGCCTGTGTGTGTGTGCTTGCGCGTGTGTGTGTTTGTGGGAGTGGGGAATAATTGAGAGATAATAAATAATGATAAAAAATAATTAATTGTATTATAAATATAATTAATAATTAAAATTATCATAATTAATTATTGTAGAATAATTATTTTTATAATTATAATTATGAACCAAGGTGCGGAGAGGTTCAGCAGCTACGAGTGCTACTCGCACACGTTCAAGTGGTCGAGGCCTTATCACGATGCAGCTCTTTTGTTAGAGTTTGCTCTTTTTACACACACACACGCACGCACACACACATACACGCACACACACGATTGCAATCAGTCACCAACAGATTTAGCATACATTTTTTTGGCTTTCTTTAAATGAAGATAATATGTGAATTACGATTAGAATCAAGTGACCAATCAATCGCATCATTTAATAAATGAATGAATTAATTAACTAACACTGATTAATATTAATTGATATAATATTGATTGTTATAAATCGATAATAAATAAATTATGTTAATTAATTGATCGCGACCGCCAACCCAGCGACAAACACGGCAGACGACTAACGCAGGTTGTGGCCATGGACGCGCTGCACTTCACCGAGGAAAACGAACAGCTCACAGAAGAGAAGACAGCGCGGGAACTGAATAAGGCAATAATTACGTCATGAATAAATTATGATAATTTTATGGCGGACAAGCTGTTATAATTATTCCTTTTTAACATTACGTCATCAACTTCATGACATCACACAGGCGTATTGTTCATTCATGGACTGCACCTATTCACCCCCAAAACATGCACCCCCGTCGCCAAGCATAATTTTATGGCGGACAAGCTGTTATAATTATTCCTTTTTAACATTACGTCATCAACTTCATGACATCACACAGGCGTATTGTTCATTCATGGACTGCACCTATTCACCCCCAAAACATGCACCCCCGTCGCCACTGGCAACTGGGGTTGCGGGGCGTTTAAGAGAGATAAGAAGTTGAAATGTGAGTGGGGTTTTTTTGTTGGTCTATTAATTTTTCATTCATTTGTTGATTTAGTTAGCCAATCGTACGAATGTTCATTTGTTCTTCTGTTTTTTATTTACTTTCAATTCATTCGTTTCTTCATTTTTTCATCCCTTTTCACTCACTCACTCATTCATTCATTCGTTCGTTTATTCAATCCTCGTCGACAACGTCCACACAGTTGGTAAGTTGTGGATGGTGGAATGTTTTGCACGGGGCAATCTTTAAGACGTCTGGCTGGCTGGCTCTCTGCTGCTGTTGTAGGGACGGGTTTGAATGCAAAATGATTCCAGACTATCACATAGCATGTAATCTCTCTGTGTATGATGCTTCCATTCAATGTATATATTGCCATCAGGAAATATTCAAAGATAGTAATAATAATAACTATTATTATTATTATTATTATTATTATTATTATTATTATTATTATTATTATTATTATTATTATTATCATCTTCATCATCATAACTATAAAACTCAAAAAACTGTGCAGTGATATTTACGCGCGGTGGGTAAGGCTTAGGAGCTGGCAACGGTTGAGTATAACTCTAGACGGTTTTTAAGTCCTTGGTAAAGTGTAGACTCGGGTCGAAGGCGTTTTTGAGAAGAATTGTTTTATAATTAGCAAGCGCTATATAAATGTGTCAATAATGGGAACAATCTTTCAAAAACAATTTTATCAAAAAGATAAAATCAAAATGAAATCAATCGAAAATTATTAATAATAATTATTAGAGTGTAAATAAATAAAATGTAAATAATTTATAAAATTTATAAAAAAATTTTATAAAAAGAAAATCCATTAAAATGGTAATAATGTGAACTCTTTTATTATCGGGAAACATCAAGACTAGTCAAAATAAAATCAAAATAAAATTTAAAAAAAATTATAGTAGTGTCAATTTTAATGTACTATCCTCCATGCACATTGTCACTGACAAGTGTATGAGAGTAGTGTTTCTGTCACAATAGATACTATATGACGGGCGAAAAACACTATTAATTAATTTTTCATCCAGAGAAATCGGCCAAAATATTGTAAATAATGATAAATTTGAGATTTTTTTTATTTCTTCAAAAGCCAAAATATAGATGAAAATTACAATTAAATATAAAATGATCAATTATTATAACAGTTAAAAGATTAAAATAAAAGATAATTTAACATAATAACAGTAATAATAATAATAAAAATAGTATCAATAGTAGTAATAATAATAGTATTACTTTCAGGAGGTCTGTATGCCTTACTTGTGAAGGCCCTCTATCACAAGAGGTCCGACAAGATCCGCAGGTCGAGTATGTTCGACTCATGTAAAGTGGTCTTTAGGCGAGATGACTCTAGTAGTAGTAGTAGTAGTAGTAGTAGTAGTAGTAGTGTAGATTTTCGCCGGGCGACATTCGAATTCCGCACCACGCGGTCCCGAACCGCGTCCGCATACGAATATCCACCCGAGCCTTCGCTTCGGCGGAGTCTTTCCTGGCCGGGATCCGCCACTCTACAATAGACCCTCTCAGGGTCTGAAAACACGGGCCGGGCGGAAGTTTGTTCGCGCCCTGCTTGTTGACTAGAGACGCCGACCTCGTCAACTATCAACAAGTCTTCTTCAACATCCATTATTTTAGGTAGAATAATTAAGTCGAGCCAAACTTCAAGTGTACACTTCTTTTATTCAATAAAAGAAATAAAATAACAAACAAAATAATACAAATCAAACCTCTGTCCTTATTAAAACAAAACGATAAGTCCAAAATTAATCTATTAATAATACAACTGACAAGCAAGAGACCAAAACCTAAAATTAAGATAACAAACGACCAGCCTCCCAATATCTTAACTCGCGGCCTTTTATATGTTTTTACCGCCCTATCTACATAATGCTTTCTATATCATAGAAAATTCTATACTCCTATCTATACTCTTTTCCTATACTCAGAAAAACGATACAGCACAGCAGCGTCGCATATATAGCATATCAAATAACAAAATATACATGCATAGAATGACTAGTAAAATATATAGATATGTATAGGCGGCACGCCTCAAAGACGCAATCATTATCATCACAATTTCACAAAATATACAGGCGGCATATTTCAATCGCGCAATCATTATCATCACCATACAGGCGGCATATCTCAATCGCGCAATCATTATCATCCCAATCGTCACAACTTCACAAAGCTCCCCACCCTCTAAAACGTCGCCCCGACGTTTGCTCTTATAGATCTTCACCAGACTCAGGAACTTCCACCATCCATCTTTCTAGCTCCGGTCCCCACCTCGTCGGTTTCCTCCTTTTTCTTTTTGTTGTGGCCGTCGTGCTCGATTGAGTTTCCGTCAGTTGCTGATCGTTTTCTGTCGGTCGTTCGTCCAGACCAGCAAACAGGTCCATCGATGGCCGGTTACCTACGGCAAACAAATCTGGTCGCTGATCAAAGAGTTCGTCAGCAAGTTTCACAAGTTCTGGAACGATGTCCGGCTGCCCTGGTAAAAATTCTGGCGTATCTTCGCTTGTCCAGGTTTGGACGAGCGACTCGGTCGACTCGTCGCTACTTCGTGATGGTGCTTCTGTTGGCTCCCCTATGGAATCGTCTTCTGCGATGTCTTCAGGCTCAACCTGTTCCGCAATCACCTTCTGATGCGCCGGAGTATGTCGCCTCAGCTGTTGTTTTACCGGTCGTGCATCCTGAGTATAAATCTTATGAAAAACTCCTTTTGTAGCACCTATTTCCCCACTCGCACAGCTAAATCTGTCTGAGAAACTTTTAAGTATTTGAATCAACTCTTCTCTAGCTTTCTTAGAAATATCTTTTACTAATCCATCAACCATACCTGTAACTTCTGTTAGATTTTCATATGCTAGACGATCAACTGATTCCTTTGCTTCCACAGCCGATGATAAATCTGGCAATCGCGTTCCCCGGTTTATCACCCCCGGCTGATCGTTGACATTCAAGATCCTAACACACTGTCTTTCATATTTTATAGGTAGTAACGTTCTAGCTACATATACACCCGATTCTATTTGTCTGTTTTCCGAACACATAAATCCGGTCGATTCTAACTTGGACGGCTGGCGAACAATCATCTTTGCTGGCACGTCTAATTCAGTCTGCGCAGGGATGCGCACTTTTGTGTGAGCTTCAATACGACAAAGCTTTCTGCATGAAAAATGTTTAATAACTAATTTCATCGTTCTATTTTTGTTACCCACGGCGATTTTCCCTTCGCCAAACTTCCACGAGATATGATTGTTCCTGAGCCAATCTAAACCTAAAACAATTTCTGAAACATGATCAGACACCAACACTAACGCTGATTTGGAATAATCATCAACTTTAATTTGCAACTTCATTTCTCCTTTGACTGGAATTTCTGTGTTGTTGACAGCTTTCAATCTCTTTTTCGTCGGTCTGATCTTTGTGACATCAACCATAGACGTTGGAACAATGGATACACTACTGCCACTATCAAGTAAACCTAATCTTCTTTTGCCATTAATTGTGATTGGCAGATACAAGACACGATCGTTACTTTCAATTGACTTGTTCACGTGATCCACTGTGCTGCTTGTCATTCCTTTTTGCGAGCACTCCCTCACAAAATGACCTGTCTTTCCACATTTGTAACAACCTTTGAAATTCACTTGACTATAAGTTTGGGATTTGCAGGTCTCATTCTTCTCAGGACATTTGACTGCAAGATGACCTGGCTTCTTACAATTAAAACAAATTTTCTCTCGCTCAACTCGGGATACAGTTGGCTGCACTCTTTTATTTCTGAGTTCTTCAAATGACTTTTGAAGAAACGCAATCTGTCGTACCATTGACTCCATGTTTTCTGCCCCTGCTTGAAAATCTTTAACCTGCGGGTCAAACCTGTGAGATGAATCTACCACCATCTTTGAAACTTCAAGACGCTGTGCGAATCTAAGAGCATCGTCAATGTTCTTTGGTTCTTTTTCCCTAACCTTTAATTCTAATTCAGCATTATCGAGGGCTGACAAGAAAAAGTCCCTAGCTAGATGTGTAGCTAATCTTGACTGCTCTCCTGGATAGGCTAATGACATGAGTCTTTTAGTAACCATTGACAACTCTCGTAACGACTCACCAGGTTTTCGACGAAGAATCTGTAATTCGTACCTGTATGACTCTTCATGACCTCTTGTTCTAAAACGATCTTCTAGCTTAGATACCAGCTCTTGGTAACCTAAACCTGTTAAATCCCAGAGAACCTGTGAAGCTTCACCTGTTAACGAACATGACAAATACGCTTCCATGTCTACGAGATTCCAATTATTGTACCTGGCACATATCTCAAACTTTTTTAAGAAAGTTTTGAGACAGCCGGTGCCATCAAATCTGTCAGGTCGAAGCAATTCGCGACGACAAAAGTCGTTGTCACGCTCGGCACCTATACGCGGTTGATGAACCTGAGACTTCACATCAGTCGAATGAAGCGGTTCCTGACTATCACACGTCGACTCGTGTTCAACTGTGTCTCTCTCTCGCTCGGTCGCTCTGCACCTGTTGCTGTTACCTAAAATTTTATTTTGCCGTGATCTACTGGACGCTAATCGCAGCTCATTCAGTCCGAACTCCTGCAACTTCGGATCACCCTGGCACCTAAAATCTAAAATATCCTGTTTGGGGATAAACCTGTAACCTAAATTGTTCGCTGAAAAATCAATGCGCGGCTTTTCTTCGTACCTGTCAACAATTTCAAAACGATTGTTGTTTAAAATAATCTCATTTTGTTGGCTGGCGGGCGTTGAAAGTCTGAAGTCTGCTCGAGGTTGATTTTCGATCCTCCTTCGGTTCCTGTGACCTAACATCTAAAAAAGTTTCATGTTGTCGAACATGGCACCTGTCACCTAAAAAATTTGGAGAATCACCTTGGCTCCTGCTGCACCTAAAACCTGTTATGTTTGAAAAAGAGGCCCCACGTTGGGCGCCAATTGTAGATTTTCGCCGGGCGACATTCGAATTCCGCACCACGCGGTCCCGAACCGCGTCCGCATACGAATATCCACCCGAGCCTTCGCTTCGGCGGAGTCTTTCCTGGCCGGGATCCGCCACTCTACAATAGACCCTCTCAGGGTCTGAAAACACGGGCCGGGCGGAAGTTTGTTCGCGCCCTGCTTGTTGACTAGAGACGCCGACCTCGTCAACTATCAACAAGTCTTCTTCAACATCCATTATTTTAGGTAGAATAATTAAGTCGAGCCAAACTTCAAGTGTACACTTCTTTTATTCAATAAAAGAAATAAAATAACAAACAAAATAATACAAATCAAACCTCTGTCCTTATTAAAACAAAACGATAAGTCCAAAATTAATCTATTAATAATACAACTGACAAGCAAGAGACCAAAACCTAAAATTAAGATAACAAACGACCAGCCTCTCTATATCTCAACTCGCGGCCTTTTATATGTTTTTACCGCCCTATCTACATAATGCTTTCTATATCATAGAAAATTCTATACTCCTATCTATACTCTTTTCCTATACTCAGAAAAACGATACAGCACAGCAGCGTCGCATATATAGCATATCAAATAACAAAATATACATGCATAGAATGACTAGTAAAATATATAGATATGTATAGGCGGCACGCCTCAAAGACGCAATCATTATCATCACAATTTCACAAAATATACAGGCGGCATATTTCAATCGCGCAATCATTATCATCACCATACAGGCGGCATATCTCAATCGCGCAATCATTATCATCCCAATCGTCACAACTTCACAGTATTAATAAAAATAACTCTAATAACAACAACAATAATAACTCTAATAACAACAACAATAATAATGATAATAACAACAACAATAATAATGATAATAACAACAACAATAATAATGATAATAACAACAACAATAATAATGATAATAATTTGAAAAGTAAAAATGGCAATTCATCGATGAAGATGGAAAGGAGTGGTAGTAACTTCGTCCAGAGGAAAACCGGTGATGGTGAGGAATTTTCTGGAAATAATAATAATAATAATAACAACAATAATAATAATAAATTGTATAATAATAATGATGATGAAATGTATAATAATAATAATAAGATGTATAATAATAATAATAATAATAATAATAAAATGTATAATAATAGTAATAATAAATATAATGATTTTAATTACGGCAGTAAGAAGGGCGATAATAAGAAAGATAATAGTGCTAACGTCGATAGCAATAATAATAATAATAATGAAAATACCAATAATAATAATAATAAATATTCCAATGATGATGATGGTGGTGTTGGTGGCAATAGCGGTGCTGGTGGGAGCAAACGACACGACGACTCACGCGTTGTGTGGTTCGAAGCACTCAGCGTGGGTGGTGGTAGTCAGGTTAAATGGCTGATCAGTGGTGACGGTAGTGGTAGCAAAGGTAGTAGTAGTGGTGGTGGTGGTGGTGGTGGTGGTGGTAACGTCGATGGTGTTAGTGGTCGTGGTAATGACGGTTGTGGTAATGGTGGCTCTGGCAAGGGTGGTTTGACTAATGGCTGCAGTGTTTGTATAACTAGTAGTATTAGCAGTGAGAGCAAGTTTAGTGATAATGGTGGTGCTGGTGGCTCTAATGACAGCCGCTACTTATTTAGTGTGCGCGCGTCTGTTTGTGTGCGTGTGTGTGTGTCTGT